TACACACATATACTATTATAGATAGTGAAAGATGCCGCTGCAGGTGCCAATGTCTGGCAGAGAGCGCAGCAGCAGCAGTGGCACCACAACAACTACAACAACAATTAGCCGCAACAGCAACAGCAACATGAACAGCGATCCCAAATGCCGAGACGGGCTGCGCAATATAAAAGATTATATCAAGAGCCAACGCCTGCAAGAGCAGCAGCAGCAGCAGCAGCAACATAAACAGCAACAGCAACAGCAGCAGCAGCAGCAGCAACAAAAGCAACAGCAACTACAACAACAGCAACAACAACAACAACAACAACAGCAACAACAGCAACAGCAACAACAGCAACAACAACAACAGCAGCAATATGAAGAGGATCGCTACAGTGCAGAGATAAAGACGCGACGGCCATACACGGATAAGGAATGCCCATTGAGCTTTGCGGCCATGCGTCACGTGGAATCGATTCAGCCGTGGAAATTGGAGCCACAGCCATGGCGTATTAGGGAGCGCATGAAGACGGCCAGTGTGGCCTTGGTGCTCTGCCTCAACATTGGCGTCGATCCGCCGGATGTGGTCAAAATTCAGCCCTGCTCACGGCTCGAGTGCTGGATCGATCCCAGCTCGGTGTCGGCACCGAAGGCCATGGAGCTCATCGGCAGCAATTTGCAGATGCAATACGAGCGCTGGCAGCCGCGCGCTCGCTACAAAAAGTGCCATGACCCCACCGTGGAGGATGTCAAGAAGCTGTGCACCTCGCTGCGGCGCAACGCCAAGGGCGAACGCATCCTGTTCCACTACAATGGCCATGGCGTGCCCAAGCCGACCGCCAATGGCGAGATCTGGGTCTTCAACAAGACATTCACACAGTATATACCGCTGAGCATCTTCGAGCTGATCAACTGGATGGCCGCTCCGTCGATATATGTGTATGACTGCTCCAATGCCGGCATCATCATCAACTCGTTTCAGCCGTTCGCCGAGCAGCACGAGCACGAGCTGGAGAAGGCCCTGGCCGCCGGCACGCAGTCGGCCTCCCAGCTGGTCAGCTACAAGAACTGCATCCATCTGGCCGCCTGTGCAGCCAATGAGATTCTGCCGATGAATGCCCAGCTGCCGGCGGATCTGTTCACCAGTTGCCTGACCACGCCCATTAACATCGCCCTCAAGTGGTATGCGATGCAGGAGAAGCTGGGCATGGTGCCGCGCATCCAGAGCGACCTGATCGACAAGATTCCGGGCAAGGTCAACGATCGTCGCACCATGATGGGCGAACTGAACTGGATATTCACGGCGATCACGGACACCATTGCGTGGAACACGCTGCCGCGTGAGCTGTTCCAGCGCCTCTTCAGACAGGACCTGCTCGTGGCGAGTCTGTTCCGGAATTTCCTGCTGGCCGAGCGCATCCTGCGCAGTCACGACTGCACGCCGGTCTCGCTGCCGGCCCTGCCGCCGTGCCATCGGCACGCCATGTGGAAGGCCTGGGACTTGGTCGTCGACTTGGCCTTGCAACAGCTGCCGGACATACTCGAGCAGCAGGCGCCCTATCGCCAGCTGCCCTTCTTCGAGCACCAGCTGACGGCGTTCCAGGTGTGGCTCGACAGCGAATCGGAGTCACGCACGCCGCCCGAGCAGCTGCCGATTGTGCTGCAGGTGCTGCTGTCGCAGGTGCATCGGCTGCGCGCCCTGGAGCTGCTGGCGCGCTTCCTCGACCTGGGCCCGTGGGCCGTGAACCTGGCCCTGGGCGTCGGCATCTTTCCGTATGTCCTCAAATTGCTGCAGAGCTCCACGCGCGAGCTGCGGCCGGTGCTGGTCTTCATCTGGGCGAAGATACTCGCCGTCGATCCCAGCTGCCAGGTGGACCTGGTCAAGGAGTACAAGTACTTCCTCGCCGTGCTCCAGGACAACAGCGTGAGCAAGCAGCACCGCACGCTGTCCGCCTTTGTGCTGGCCTCGATCGTGCACAACTTCCTGCTGGGCCAGACGAGCGCGCTGCAGGGACCCCTGCTCTCCATCTGCCTGGAACAGCTGAACGACAGCAGCTGGCTACTGCGCCAGTGGCTGGCCATCTGCCTGGGCATGCTCTGGCAGAACTTCGAGAAGGCGCGCTGGTCGGGCGCCCGCGATCTGGCGCACGAGAAGCTCTACGTGCTGCTGCGCGATCCCATACCGGAGGTGCGAGCCGCCGCCGTGTTCGCCCTGGGCACCTTCATCAGCTCCGTGACGGATCGCAGCGAGGGTCAGGCGAACAACATCGATCGCATCATAGCCATCACCTTGCTGGAGACGGTGGGCGAGGACATGTCGCCGCTGGTGCGGCAGGAGTTGGCGGCGGCCCTCCAGTGGATGGTGCTACTCTTCGAGTCGCAGTTCGTCACAATCTACACGGCGGAGCACATAAACAGCCACAGCTCGGCCCTAGTCTCGTGCGGCGGCGAGCGCAGCGCCAGCATCACGCACGGCATGCCCAATGCGCCTTCGGGCCACTATACTCAGTACACGCACAGTCTGGAGCGGCACTCGCATGTCACCATCCGACGCGGCGCCAGCTCCAGCTCCATCTCGAACATGGCCAGCTCCAGCTCGATGTCTGGCAATTCGGCTGGCAGCGCCGGCGGCACCGGCTGCGTCGCTGGCAACTGCACCAGCAGCACTGGCACCTCGGCGACCACGAATGCGATTCCCTTTCAGTACATCTTCAGCAAGCTGTGGCAGGGCATCTACAACCTGAGCCAGGATCCCTTTCCCTCGGTCGCCGCCACGGCCCAGATGATCGTGGCGCATGTGCGCGACGTAGCGCTCTGCTTGATCACGGCCAAGGAGGCGACGAATGCCACAGCTGCTGCCGGCATTGGCAGCTCTGCGACTGGACGAGATCAGCAGAAGCTGAACAGCAGCCTCCTGAGCGTCAGCCTGCCGCCGAGTCCGAATACGCGCTGCAATTACCTGGGCGCGGGTGGCGAGTCCCCGCCGGTGGGCGGAGGTGGCTCAACAGTGGCCGTGGCCGCGGCAGCAGCGGCGGCAGCAGCAGCAGCGGGAGGAGGCACTTCGTCCGGCAACAATCGCTGGTCGCAGAAGCAGCGCCTCTCCGGCAGCAACGAGGCACAGCAGCGCAAGCTGCGCACCACCTCGATGAACGACGAAACGGACAGCGGCAACGTGACGAGCTCGTCAGGCGCGCCCGGCACCAGCTCCGCCGTGCTCGGCCTGATTGCGAACGCGAACGCGGCCGATGGCAACAACTCGGCGAGGAGCAGCGGCAGCGAGACGAATCATTATGCGGAAGCGAACAGCACCAAGGTGCAGCTGCTGAAGCCGATTGTGACCACTCAGTTCATACCCTGGGCCATTTCGTACTTTACGCGTCCGGGCAAGCAGCGCTACAGCAGCGCGGAGGGCAGCACCGAGGAGGAGGAGGGTCAGCAGCGCTGGCCGGTCGATCGCAACTCCGCGGAGCTGCGGACGCGCGAATATCGCTATCAGCGCAACGAACAGATCCGGCGGACGGCACGGCGCGAGCAGCAGGATCAGTGCGTCCGTCGGCTGGACGCGTTCAGCTTCGTGCGCAAGACGCAGTGCACGCCGTCGATAGTGAAGCTGCTGCCGTACGAGCAGCAGATTGCCGTCGCCTACAAGGAGAAGGTGCTCGTCTATGACTTTGTGCGCAATCTGGTCCACAGCTACGTGACGGAAGCTCTGTCGGACTCCGACCACGGCCAGTCTGTGGGCAGCAGCACCAGCAGCAACGGCAGCAACGGCAGCAGCAGCGGTGGCGGCGGCGGCGGCGGCGGCAGCAGCAGCAGCAGCAGCGGAGGCGGCGGCGGTAGCAGCAGCAGCGGCAGCACCAGCAGCGGAAGCAATGGACGCAAGATTAGCCGCCAGCCGGCGAGCATATTCGCGCGAGTGAGCAGCTTTGAGCTGTTGAACGCTCAGGATGTCGGCCTGATGCTGGTCGCCCACGACGATGGCGTCATACGCGTCTGGCAGTCGACCGGCGAGCCGCAGGAGAACTCGAGCGGCTGCTCGGGCGAGCCGCAAGCCAAAAAAACACGATTGATTAGCGCCTGGGATGCATTCCCGCGCACGGCCTACCAGAGCGGCTGCGGCGGCAGCGCCGGTGGTGCTGGTGGTGCCGGCAACGGCAGCTGCGGCAGCGGCGGCGGCGGGGGCGGGAGCAATGCCAACAGTTCCTATTTGCAGCGGCGACTCAAGACGGATCCGCTGGTAGCGGTCAACAGCAGCGTCGTGGCGTTTACATTGGTTGCCGCTGCGTACCAAGCGGTCGCGATGGGCCACGGCAAGCATCGGAGCTCCACGGACGTTGTCACGGCTTGGCAGCAGCACAGCCAGCACTTGGTCGTGGGCTCTGAGGCCTATCGCTATCTGCGCATCTGGGACGTGGAGCGGGAGCTGCGGCTCAGCGATCTCCAGCTGGGCTCTCGCGAGACCAGCGTGCGTGTCCTCTCGCCATTTGTGGCCAACAAGCCGTGGGATCTGATTGTGGCCGGCTGTGCGGACGGCAGCGTGCGGCTGTTCGACAAGCGGTGTCCGCCGCAGGAAGCACGGATCCGGGTCTATCGCGAGCACACGGCGCCCATACTGCATGCCTGCCTGCGATCCAATGACACCTCGTTCGTGACGGGCTGCACGGCGGGCAAGGTGAACGTGCTGGATCTGCGGGCGAATGCCGCGTCCGGCGTCTTGCATCAGTGGGAGGCGGGCAGCGATATTACGGCCATGGCCAGTCATCAGGTGGCGGATGCCATCGCCTGCGGCAACGCCTCCAAGATCTGCATCTACTCGCTCAACGGACGCACCCAGAGCGTCTTGCGCAGCAACGAGGGCTTCATGGGCTCCAAGATTGGACACCCCACATGCCTGTCATTTCATCCGTATAAGGTGCAGCTGGCGGTGGGCTTTGTGGACAACACGGTAGCTGTCTACAGCCCTACACCAGGTAAATTATGGAGTGTGTGGCGTGTAGAGATAAGCGAGCGACGAGTCAACTGAATAACGAGTAGCTGCAACGAGTAAGAGCAAGGCGAGCGACGAGTGAGATGCACGAGAAGACTAACGAGTGTTCCAAATGTGTGGATATTAGGAAAACCTACCTAATTTTGATTATAGATCCAGCTGCACTGATAACTATAACGAGCAACGATAGCGAGTAACGACAACGAGTAGAGATAGCGAGTAGCCTAAGCGAAGCCGTACTTGAATCGGCAGCTTCAACGAGTAGCTCCAACGACATGCTCCATTCTCTCTCTCTCTTTCTCCCTCTCTCTCTCTCCCTCTCTCTTTCTCGCATACTCCCTCATTCTCATTTGGGTCACTATATTTATACTCACTCGCTTTGATTTCGTTACAGTTTTATAAACTCTGCAGCCGCTGGAAAACGGACGTCGATAAGAATCCTGAAACAATGTTTTATGCACGTAGCTTCAACGCGGAGCCCGCAATGCAGTCAGCAGTGGCGCATGTGCGTGCCGTTACCAAAATAATGGACTTAACCCCCCAGGATGTCCAGCTAATGTACACCGTGTGCGCCTTCGAGACGGCCTGGCAGCGCCGTCTACCCCCATCCGTCTGGTGTCGCTTCTTCGATGTGGCCTCCTTGAGCGCCTTGGAATTCGCCGAGGATCTCGAGTACTATTGGAACGATGGCTATGGCTATGAATTGACGCATCGCATTGCCTGTCCGGCAATCGCAGACATGTTTGCGGCCATCGAGTGAGTAGCCAAGAGATAATAGATAAGATGATATTATAAGAGATCTAAAATCCCAGCGAGCCATTAGCAACTCGTCAAAAGAACGTGAAGCTATTCCAATCGTTTGAAATACTGATTCATACTCAATGACTTCTTGTAGCTGGAACTAAGTGGAAGCACAAATAATTTTACGTAATACTTTCCCTGCAGTCGAATAGAGAATCGGAAATGAAATTTCAGACTGGCAGAAGTTGAATGTAAACTCCGATGCACAGCCTACTTCAATTGGGGTTAGAAAATACTCTGCACATCAAGGGCTAACTTGACTGAAGGAGAGAGAACTCAAGTCAAGTAGGTGCTAAAAATGGGTGAATCACTTTCACCTGTTTGCGTGAATCTTTTCCGATCAATCTTGAAGAAACAGAATCATTGAAAATTAAAGAGCTCCAACAAAGAGATCTTTGCACTTTGCAAATTCACCTTCAAGCGCGAAAGATGAGTGGAATGGGCATATGTTAGATCTAGTATTGTTTCTAGTAGAGCTTTCTCCTAAGTTCTGTATTTTAATAGCTATGCAATTTCCTTGCCTTGCAGCACACTGAAGCCACGCGCCAATGCCACTTTCTACTTTACCCATTCGGGAACGCTGCTTAAGATGCTGGCCCACCTGGGCGTGGCCAAGGACGAACATCCGCTGACGCATAAGGATTTTGAGACGAAGCGTCTGTGGCGCACCAGTGAAATCGATGCGTTCGCAACCAATTTGGCTTTTGTGCGCTATGAGTGAGTGAGATAGACGATTTATTCCCATATTTGTATGTATTGATTAAACTTCACTTTTCCTCTTCGGCAGTTGCATCGAAAGAGAGCCGCAAATTTTGGCAATGCATCAAGAGCGGGTGATTCGTCTGCCCGGCTGTCCGCAGGATGAGGATCTGTGTCCGCTCTCGCGGCTGCGGGCCAACTACGTGGATAGCGTCGAGCGCTGTGACTTTGAGGCGCTCTGCCAAGCGGCCAATTGAGCGGACCGGGCGAGACAACGAGAGCGAGAGAGACAGAGTGAGAGAAAGAGATGAAGGGAGCTGGCCGGCATGGAATGGGAACCGGGAATCGGGTTTTTGGATGAACTGCTGCTGCTATTGCCTGCCTGCAGAACTATGTGAAATTTAACATGAAACAAAGGATTCGTCGGATTATGTAAACGGAATATTGAAATGATGTCGAGGAACGAACAGAGAGCTAGATAGTGAGAAAGAAAGTGCGGCAGCGAGAGCCGAGTTGAAAATTGATTGAAAATGAGTTATGGTAGAAATTTAGACGATAAGAAATGCTAAATATCCAAGTGTGTTATGTCGAAATATGTGTATGTATTTTGTGTATGCCTTATAATCAATGTGGACCATCCAATCCAACAGCAAAAACAAGAAAAGCAAATGAGAGGGAGCGCGCGAAAGCGAGAGAGAAAGCACAAGCGCGCGAGCAAAGGAAAAGGAAAACGTAATGTGAACGAACAAAGGAAAAGTTGTGTGAAAAGCTAATGATTGTTTCTAGCCATGCCGCCAAAACTGAGAAAATTGTCTATCTAGCATAGAAATATACTTACTTACTAATTAGACCATATATACTAAATTAACTGTACAATATGTACTGCTGCAAAATCTATGCGATTTGATTTGCTATTTTTCCCCCATTTTTGTAACTTTTGTATATAAACTAAATTCATATAT